TCATCCTTCCTCCTCCAAGAGCCTAATGCTCTGTGAACCTTGCACAAATGACTCAATATCTCTGGGCCTTAGTTCCCTCTTCTGTAAAATGAAGATAATAGTAGTATCTACTCTCAAAGGGTTGTGGGTACATGACAGAATTAAATGTTAGGATATATAAAGTATGTTGAGCCCTGCTTGGCTTAGTGTAGTGTACAATAAACCCTCACTATTATTTTTACACATATCTGGAATAGCATTGTTCACATTACATTGTAGCTGCTTGTGAGAGTTATTTTGCCCCCCTAAACTGTAGGAGATGGCGCATCATTACATTTTCAGGCTGGCGCACAGTGTCTGGCTTATAGCCTGCATGAAACAGTTACTGAATGAATAAAACAATCTTTGCACTCTTTACAACACGGAGCACAGGGTAGGTGCTCACTAAATAGTAACTGAATGGAATTGGATACAATCGGATTAATCTGGAGAGAGTGCAGAATAGGTGCCATAAAATTTGATAAGCCCTAAATAGTTTAAATTTTAAGGTGAAAACTAATTTTCTTTGAGACTCCTCCTTAGCACTGAAATTATACTGAAGGCATAACTCCACATCCATAGCAAATTTAGAAGTTTTTTGTTCGCTCTCCAGTTTTAGTTTCCATGTCCTGCCAACCCTCTTTGTTTTTATTCTCACGGCATAGCTTCGATCATATTACACCAAAAACCTGGACTCATCACCACCTATATGAGTAAGCTATTGCTACATGACAAACAAACATAAAATCTCAGTGGCAATATAACAAGGAGCATCTATTTCTCATGTGTCTGTGGTGCAGGCTTGACTGGGTCACTCTGCTTTAAGCTGCAGATCTGACTGGACTTGTTTCTTCACTAAGGGTTGGCCTCAGGTCTGTGCCATATGTATTTATTCTGGGTTCCACGCTGAAGGGGCAGCAGCTACCCAGGGAAGCTCTTCTTTGGCAATAGCAGAGAAGCAAGAAGATAAGTAGAAATCTGCAATGTGTGTTAAGGTCTCGGCCTGGAACTGACGTATTTCCACTCACATTACATTATTCCAAAGAAGACATTAGGACAAACCCAATATCAAAGAAATGGGGGAAATAAACATTGCCAACTCTAGTGGGTGGTACCAGTGCCACATTCCCATGGCAAAGGAGGTGAATGTATCATCGAATTCAGTGAAGACAAGAAGGATTATGCAACATTTATCACACCTTTATCCAGATTCCGGTCCTCATAACATCTTTCCTAGGCAATCACATTAGTTGTTTAATCTCCTTGTGCCTCATCTTCCCCACTATATTATACTCCCTCCATTTTCTTTACAAAGTGCTACCAAGTAAACCTCCTCAAGTAGAGTGTGTTTATAATACTCACTTTACTCAAAAACCACAATCATTTCCTAATGTCGTATCATGTTTTTGGCAGTAGATAATAGAATACCCAGTCTACAATAACTTATATTATTTCATATGAAAATAAGTCTAGAGAAAGTGTTTTGTGTTGGTTTAAAAGCTTAGAAATGTCATCAGAGTCTCGAGCTTTTGTTGTTTATTTTTAATACATTAGCTGCTGTTCTTAGCACTCATTGTCTCACGATGATAAGATTGCTGCAATAGCTCCAAGCATCACATCATTGCAAAATTATATTCAAAGATGAATGAAAATAAGGAAAAAGACTCCTTATATGTCCCTTTCCTTTCATCAGGGGAAAAAAATCTCTTCCTATATGGTCCTGAGTCACTTTTCTGGACATTTCATTGATCAGAGCTATCTAATCACCCAAAGCTGTAAGGCAGGTAGAAATCAATAGAGATGATTTTCACGTTCTGTCATATGAGCGGCTTCTAAAAACAAGAAAGAAGGCAGGAGAGGAATTACTTATATTCAGAAAATCAATGGTATCTACACACTGTCAAATAATTTAACCTAACTGGCAAAATTTAAGATTCTTTATAACACAACCTCCATCTCTTTTAAAACTGATTATATCAAGATATCTCTAATAAGAGCCAATGTTTTCCTCAGCATACTCCAGTGTTCCTATGATTCTTCCCATCATTCATGCATTTGTTTACTTCCTTTCATTTTCCCAAAATGCTTTTTGTTTCCTCTTTTACTTGTCTTTCCTTATCTCTGAGAGAAGGGAAGCACCCAAGGCTGTTCTGCCGCCCCACCGCATGCTCCCACGTTGCCTCTGCGCTTCCCCAGTTATAGCAGTTTTCTCATGATAAAATGTGCCTCCCTGTTCCTTATATACTGCCCTACTAGGCAAAGCTTTAGAAAATAGGGAATGAGTCTTGGATGTTATATTACCAGTGCCTCTCCTATCCCTAAACAGAGTGTAGCCGCTCAAGATGTTCTTTAGGAAATAACTAAATGAATAAAAGAGTAAATGCCCTGGAATGCTCTCACCTATATCTTCTTATATCCACCTAGCAAAAACAAACCAAACAAAACCAAAACAATTTCGCCAAACACAAGTCTCTCTTTCCCACTCTCTGTCATAAAGACATACACACACCACATACCACATCTGCACTAAATGACACAAAAAGACCTTATATGAAAGGATATCTTTCTTAGCATTCAATACCTTTTATGATACCTGCTATATTCTTTTATTCTAGCCCCTACAATATTACAAACTTCCTGATGTTGTTTTTCAACTCAATATGCCTACCCTTATTGCTGTGAAGATAGAAGATAATAAATGTTTGTGAAATTGATTTGAATAATAAAATCCATTAATGGTTTTTTTACTTTATAGCAATTCTTCCTCCTGACTGTAATCTCTAGACAATGTAAATCATTTGATCTGATATACTGGGTTATTTTTTCCTAAATATTTTATGTCGTTCTTTCTTAGAGTGGTTACAAGTGTTTTGAACAAGTCATTGTTACTTGACCAAAGTGTTCAAAGCAAATATCCATGATTATTTCCCACTTCTCTATACTATATTCATGTGTTTTGAGCTTTCTGTTACTTGGCTAAAAATGCACTTTTCCATATTGGAGTATGTTATTAATAGTGTTTTAGCCTTTATTGTTTCCTCCATGCTGGGTTGTCACCAATTCAAACCGTTACATTTTCCTAAGAAATAAATGAAAATTATGATTCCTTCAAGTCTCACTACACTCCATTTTATCACTGAACACTATGCTGCATTATATATTATTCTATCTAATTTTATGTATACTTTAAAAAAATTATTGACCACCTCCACTGATGGTTAAGATGATGTCTTGCAGTACATCATTCTACAAATGTTTATTGAACTTCTAATATGTGCCAAACACTGTTTAGGTACTGGGGATCCCATAATAAATGATTGAGATACGACTCCTACTCTCCTGGGTTTTACATTCTAAGCAAGGGAAACAACTAAGCAGAAAGCATATCAGTCTCATATGTCAAATGGGGATATGTGCTCTAAAAAAAGTAAGGCTGGGAAAGTGGCATAGAGAATGTCATGAAGTGGAGCCATTTTTTAAAAGGTTGCTAGGAAAGGCTAACATAAGAAGATACCATTTGATCAGAGACCTAAGGCAATGGAGTTCCATGAAGAAGAAAATGCACAGTCCCTGCAGCTGAAGAGTGCTTGGCAGCAATGAGAAAGAGCAATTTGGGGCTATTGCAAATTTAAAAATGGGGAGAGAAAACTCAAAATCCACTAATTAGGGGAGGTCAGATTATATAATACCTTGTAAGTCACAGTAGAGACTTTATTTCATTCTGAGTGAAATGGGAAGCCCTTGAACCCACTAAATAATTGTTTCATTATCAGTAATAAGCATTGATACTATCTTAATAGCAAACCTGGAAAGGCATGATGGTGAGAGTTGCATAACATTGTGAATGTACTTAATGCCACTGAATGGTACACTTAAAAATGGTGAAAATGATCGATTCTATGTTATGTATATTATACTACAATTATAAAAAACAAACGTCTATCTGTGATTACTGCAGGCCAGAGTCTGTGCTAAGCACTGGTGAAGACATAGATGATTCAGACACTCAGAATCTGCTTTGAGAGAGTATATTCCATATATTACAAATGTAAATACACAATGCAAGGTAGTGCAAATCATGTTCCAAATGAGAGGGCTAGGCTAGGATTTCACAGTGGGTGCTCTCAGAAACACTGGAGACATGCTCTTTGAAATAAAAAAATGTTGCTCAAATAAGTTTGGGAGATAATGCATCCTCCATCCCTCGTGGAGATTCACAGCACACGTCGGCATTTCACAGGCTCCAAAAATAAATACGCATTAAAGAAACCTGTCTGATTTGCAGAACCTAATGACACTAAAACATTTCGTTCAAGGGCCCTTTTTCCTGAATCCTCTATTAACATCCTGAGGATCTGATATTCCTAATAACTGATGTTACAGGAGACACAAAGCTGAGATAAGGAGTTAGTGGAGAAAGTGTGACCTAAGCTGAGCCCTAAAGGAAAGGTAATAGTTAGATTTGAGAAGAGGAAAGACATTCAAGGCAGGAGAACTGCTAAGTAATTCACTTCGAAGCAAGTCCCCTAGAACTTGCCTCCTCAAATACCATTGAGTTGCAGAATGAATGTCCTAACTATACTGATAACATTGTAATTTTTATAACCATTAACCGGTAAACTTCTTCTAAAACAGTATACCAAAGACACTAAGATTAATTATTTTGCAGAAGTTTTCTTAATTCCCTGTCATTCCTTTTTAGACAACAAAGTTAAGGCCCAGAGAGACTATAACTTACACAGTCATCCCTACCTAATCGATGGCAGAGTGTTAGTTTTCTCACTCTGGGGCCAGGGTCCTATTGCATAAAGGAGGGAGTTGTGGTCTTCATATGTCTGCCACAGACACTTTGAAAATAAAGCAAAAAATCAATTCCTATGCAAGATGAAGATTTCAGCATGGAATGGATATGGAAACAGAATCAAATTAAAGAACAACGCAAGCTTGGATTTTAATGAAGCTCATCTTTGTTTCTTTTGCAGATCAAATTTTTGGCTCTCATCTGCACACAGTGTGTGAACGTGAAAATTCCACAGTTCCGCGGTTTGTAAAGCAATGCATTGAAGCTGTTGAGAAAAGAGGTGGGTAACTGAATGTGCAGCAGTTCCCCGCATTGCTGCACCCTCTATGCAATCAGTACTCAAGTTAGCAGTGCCACTTGATTTGTCTGAGAAGCCATGCAATTAAAACTTGACTTGTGTTAATCGGTTAAGAGGATCAACTTTCTTATTAACTTCAGTTTGTTTTTACAATAGGGACATTAGTAATTCTCACTAATGTTCTTTTTTTTTTTTTTTTAATATTTTGTCTGTCTGACATACTGTTGATTCAAGTGCAAACTTCTTGTTTTCAAGCCAGTGATAAAACATTCATAAAATATCAGCACTCACAGTGTTAGAACCCTCCTAACATTCATGCTGGTAGACGTTGTGCCAGAACAATTTTTGGTAAGCCCCCAACATTACCCAAGTTAAGCAAATAGCATTCCGACTTGCAGACGGTGATATCCCACCTTCCACATGTTTCTGTTCAGTACTGAATGTGCTATTGGGATTTTCAGGAACAATTAAAAGACGTACCTCAAAAGATGACCTTTGACTCCTCTATTTCAACATTCTGTTTTTCATCAGAAATTATTTCATCTTACTGAAGAGAACAAAACAAAACCCAATTGAATCATCATTTCCACTCCACTCTATCTGTGGGGTGCTTTTCCTTCAAACTATGACTTCATTCATTCAAGGTCATTTTTCCTGGAAGATACATATAGTAGATGCAGAATCTTAAAAAATGTATTGTATAAAAATGCGAGGCTTCATCACCATCTGTTACAAGTTTACAACATATTCCCAGGATCTAGGGGGATATATATCATGTAAAAGATAGAGGTGTTTTCAGAAAAAGGATTGGTGAACCTATTCCCATTTCTAGCTCCTAGTCTCTTAAGACAATAGAACCAAGGGGAAAAAATCTTTACCCAGTAATCTGCTAGGAAAAAAAAGCCATTTTAATTCTCTCAATGTTACCTGGCTTTATTATAAAAGCATAATAAAAATGGTCTGCAATTTCTAACTCCTGGAAATTCATACTTTAATTATGCTGTAAGGACAGCCTTGGGATCCTATTATTCCCCTATCAGTAGGGAATGAGAGAATAACAAGAAGGGGAAGAGTGGGTAGGGAATGTGGATAAAGAGAGTGACTTTGGAGAAAGCATATCACCACTTCAGAGAGAAGAGCTGAGAGTACAGTGAGAATAGAAAACAGCAACTGCAGGATGAACATGAGGAGAGGTGTCTGTGAGAAATGAAGTCAATTGGAGTTTAGAGAAAAATTGTTTTTATTGCAAGTTGCAATTTCATTTAATTTTATAAGTATATATTTTAGGAATAAATATTCTTTAATAAGTATTTAAAGCCAAAATGGATCACTGAGAATATTATAATGTTATTATTTCCGATAGGTAAATTGTCATCATTTTCAGGAAATCTTCATCTACTTATAAATACTCAGCACCGACAGTGTGAACACTGTTATATTAGACCAAAAATCCAAATAGGACATTGGGGAAGCACATAATAAGATGTGTGCATGTGTAAAGAAGCACTCCATACCTCTCGATTTATGTATCTACCCTAGGCAAAACAAAAAACTCTGCTAGATGCAGCCTTGCAGTTAGCAGATATTATAATATTGTAGAGTAGAAAATGTCTATAAATAGAAACTATATCTTTTGTTCATGGTATTTTGTTGGTGACTTTTAATAAAATAAGACAATGTTTTTGCTGACTGGAGCAATCACATCTAGCCTTATATTTCATTGTCCCTGTGTTTACTCTTAAAATGAATTTGTAGATCCAGCACTAAACAGGCACTAATCACACATATGATTATTAAAATAATTCCTAAGCATTTTAATGAAACTCAAAGACTTTACAATTCCACAAAGCAACTGATAATTCAAAGCACTTTGGCAGCGTCAGCTTAAAGGAACTCTATGGAAATATTCAATAAAAACTAAGAAGCACAAGATAAACCTCTCGCATCATTGCAAGATTTACAAGTGTGTACTTTTGATTATAATTTTCTATGATCATTTTGTTGGATTAATATTCTTATATTTATACACCAATTCTATTTACTCAAAGTGTTGTTTTTACGAAATTCTGGCATAAAGCATTTCAGGACAGAAATAATTTATGTGAATCTAAGTCCAATGTTTATGCAGGCTTCTGATGACATTTTGTGCTGGGGTTGGTATTAGGAAGTAGCATATTAAGGTGCCAAGTCTCTCAGCACGGCTGGGACTCAGCATATCTGGAGCCCTCCTTCTAATGGCCAGATCCTCTTCCAGCCAAGATACTCAACTGCAGAGTCATGGGAAATGCTGATGGACCAGTTATGGGAAAGGAACATTTAATGAAAAACTGTGTGTTTACTGTCACAGTCTTAGGGAAACGGTCTTGATACTCACTACATCGGCACATTCGCTGTTATAAAAAAGATTTGTTTCCTTCTCTTTTTTTTCTTATGATTATTTTTTTCTCCTTTAAAAATCATCTATAAATTGTAGCTATATTTTTTTAAAATACTTATTAGATTGATGATGTAAAATGAAACATTATCAGGAAGGCAGATCTCACCATTCATTCATTCATTTATTCAGTCAGTCATTTGTCTTACCTATTTGCATTGAACAGAACCAAATTGCTCACATTTCTGTAGGTCTCTCCAGGGAAATTCTACCCAGTGCTTGGCGCAGGATGCATTCTTTATTCATCCCTGGTAAGGTGACATTAGTTACATTTTAAATTTTAGACATGCCTAGAAGAAAGTCTATTAATAAACTGAATATAAACCAATTTAGCTAATAATTTGTTTAGTATGTTTTTGTATCTTGATTTGGTTCTCTTTATTACTCTAAATTACCAGAGCATTCTCCTCCTCACCAACTGTTATAACTAGATTAAATTTATTTCTGTGGTTTCTTTTTTCTTTTTTGGGATAGTCTCACTCTGTTGCCCAGGCTGGAGTGCAGTGGCACAATCTCGGTTCACTGCAACCTCTGCCTTCTGGGTTCAAGCGATTCTCCTGCCTCAGCCTCCCGAGTAGCTGGGACTACAGGAACATGCCGCCATGCCCCGCTAATTTTTGTATTTTAAACAGAGATAGAGTTTCACCGTATTGGCTAGGCTGGTCTCGAACTCCTGAGCTTGTGATCTGCCCACCTTGGTCTCCCAAAGTACTGGGATTACAGGCATGAGCCACCGTGTCTGGCCCATTTCTGTGGTTTCTGACATTGTCAGCTGAGCTTTGAAAACACACACAAAATTTGGAAAACAAATTGTTTTGTGTTTTGTTTTGTTTTGCTTTTTATTTTTTAATTATACTTTAAGTTCTGGGGTACATGTGCAGAATGTCCAGGTTTGTTACATAGGTATACATGTGCTATGGTGGTTTGCTGCACCCCATCAACCCATCATCAACATTAGGTATTTCTCCTAATGCTGTCCCCCCCAGCACCCCACGCCTTGACCTTCCCCGGTGTGTGATGTTCCCCTCCCTGTGTCCATGTGTTCTCATTGTTCAACACCCACTTATGAGTGAGAACATGCAGTGCTTGGTTTTCTGTTCTGCTATTACTTTGCTGAAAATGATGGTTTCCAGCTTCAGCCATGTCCCTGCAAAGGACGTGAACTCATCCTTTTTTATGACTGTGGCTCCATGGTGTATCCATGGTGTATACGTGCCACATAGTATCATAGTATCCATGGTGTGTATGTGCCACATTTTCTTTATCCAGTCTATCTTTGATGGGCATTTGAGTTGGTTCCAACTGTTTACTATTGTAAACAGTGCCACAATGAACATATGTGTGCATGTGTCTTTATAGTAGAATGATTCATAATCCTTTGGGTATATACCCAGTAATGGGATTGCTGAGTCAAATGGCATTTCTGGTTCTAGATCCTTGAGGAATTGCCACACTGTCTTCCACAATGGTTGAACTAATTTACATTCCCACCAACTGTGTAAAAGTGTTCCTATTTCTCCACAACCTCTCCAGCATCTGTTGTTTACTGACTTTTAATGATTGCCATTCTAACTGGCATGAGATGTTATCTCAATATGGTTCTGATGATCATTTTTCTAATGACCAGTGATGATGAGCTTTTTTTCACATGTTTGTTGGGTGCATAAATGTCTTCTTTTGGGAAGCGTATGTTCATATCCTTTGCCCACTTGTTGATGGGGTTTGTTTTTTCTTGTAAATTTGTTTCAGTTCCTTGTAGATTCTGGATATTAGCCCTTTGCAGATGGATAGATTGCAAAAGTTTTCTCCCATTCTGTAGGTTGCCTGCTCACTCTGATTATAGTTTCTTTTGCTGTGCAGAAGCTTTTTGGTTTAATTAGATCCCATTTGTCAATTTTGGCTTTTGTTGACATTGCTTTTGATGTTTTAGTCATGAAGTCTTTGCCCGTGCCTGTGTCCTGAATGGTACTGCCTAGGTTTTCTTCTAGGGTTTTTATGGTTCCAGGTCTTACGTTTAAGTCTTTAATCCATGGAAGACAAATTTTTAAGGAGCATGTTAGTCTTTACAGCTCTTTCAAACGGTTTCTTCCCCCTTGTCTTCCCTTTATAGTTGGAGACCACGTATCTGATAAATCATGATTAGCCAATGAACAATTCAACTAATGTTTCTTTTTCAAAGCAATTTCTGTGAAAATTTTAAAACATTGTTCAGCTAATGCTTTCTCCATATCTTGGGTACAATGACCAAAAGCATGAGATCATCTGACACTATCTTGGAGGTTTTAGGAAAAAAGCATGCAGAGCAGGGGTGTCTAATTTTTTTGTTTCCCTGGGTCACATTTGAAGAAGAATTGTCTTGGGCCACACATAAAATATGCTAACGCTAACAATAGCTAATGAGCTTTAAAAACATTGCAGAAAAATCTCATAATGTTTTAAGAAAGCTTACTAATTTATGTTGGACTGTATTCAAACCCCTAGGCCATGGGTTGGAAAAGTTTGATGTAGAGGAAGGCATTGTAACATACAGTAGATATAAGCAGTGAGA